AAAGAAAAGCAGCAGCAGCAGCAGCAGCAGCAGCAGGCTGCAGCTGATGAAAGCCGCTGTTTGCGCGCTGCTGCGGGACCTGCGGGACGTGTGTCTGCTGAGCTGGGTGCCTTACTACGTGATAGAGCCTGAGGAAGAGTTTGCATGTCTTTCGAAGTGTTTGTCTTTGGCAGAGAGCTGCAGCACGGAGCAGCAGTTGCTGCCGCTCTCCGCTCCTCTTGCTGCTCTCATTCTGCAGAACACTCTCCCCAGCAGCCTCCCCGTCCGGCAGCAAAAAGACCTCCTCGAAAAAATGCTCCGCGCAGCCAAACTCGTCGCCGTCTGACCCTGCAGCACCCAGCGCTGTTGCTCCTTGCTGCTGCTGCGGCTGCTGCTGCTGCTGCCAGCTGCTGCTGGCTCCTGCTAGCGGCTGCTGGCTGTTGCTGGTTGCTGCTAGCTGCGGCTGGTTGCTGCTAGCTGCGGCTGGTTGCTGCTAGCTGCTGCTGGCTGCTGCTAGCTGCGGCTGGGCTTTGTTTTGGGTCTTTGCGGGTGCACGCTGCGCGGGGGACTGAGTGCAAATATTTCAGAAGTATATTATTAAGCAGCCTGTGTTTATAGAAGAGTGGATGCATTCTTTTACTTTGGGGCTGCATGCAAAAAATGAACACGCAAGACCCGCGGCTGCGGCTGCCCGCGGGCGGGGCCCCAGCCAGCGGCAGCAGCTTCAGCGGCAGCAGCTGCAGCAGCAGCAGCAGCAGCACACAGCGCAGCAAAGCCGGTGTGGGGCCCCGAGCCAGAAAGGCTGGGGCCAAAGACACAGGCAGGAGCTCCCTGGGGTGCCCCACAGGCGTAGGGACTGTAAAGATCTTTGTGGATAGAAAAAGTCCCTTTGAATTATCACAGTGCAGCGGGGCTGTTCATCTCACTATTTTTAGTGACCCTTGGTTGTTTAGGGGAGCCTGGGGGGCCCCGGAGGGGCCTCCCGGGCCCCAGGCGACCTCGGGAGCCACGGCAAGGCCCCGTGGAGCAAAGGGGGCCCTCGGCGCCTTCGGGGGCCCCCCCGGTACCCAGGGGGCCCCCCGCGCCCCCGGGGGCCCCCCAGCAACAAGGGGGCCCCCGCGGCAGGGGGCTGAGTTGAATGCAGTGTGTGGTGGAGTTTAAGCGGAGGGGACCTCGGGTCTCGGGATGCATCAGACAGGTCGGCTACGGGGCCCCTGCTGCTGCAGCAGTAGCAGCTGCTGCTGCAGCGCAGCAGCAGGGGGCCCCGCGTCTGTCTCCCTTCAGGAGACAGCCGGGAGGAGAGCCAAGACTGTCCCCTCCAGGCAGCTGCCTCTCCTCGTTTACAGAACAGTTTTTCTCAGTTTGTGGTATTACTAGGGTTTAGGATTTAGGGGTCTACGTAGACTAGTGGCTCTGTGCTGCTGAGGTGTACAGACACCTGAGGAGGCGCAAGTGTCTGCTGCAGCCAGTCAGTTAAAAGCCCAAAAGCAATCTGCAGTTGGCTCAAAAAGTGGAAGTTTAGATTTAAAAAGATAGCTGAAAGCCGAGTCATGGCTAGCCCAGCTGGTCTAATTTGGAAGGCTAGTTAGGGACGACGAGCTAGCCAGCTAGCCAGCTAGCTAGCTAGCTAGCTCTAGCCTGCTGGCCAAGCATGTGACGAGCCGAACAATAGACCCTGGCATGTCATAGTCGATATGGCTCGAGCAGCAGCAGTTACTGCTGTGGCCGCGGCTGCTTCTGCTGCAGCAGCAGCTTTAGAAGAACTCGTCGTACTCTCCTGCGTCGCTCTCGTAGTCCGCGTCATAGGCCTCTTCAGGGTCTTCTTGAGGGGCCTGGGGGGTCTCGGCTTCAGCGTCCGACTGGGGGGTCCTGGGGCCCCCGGGGGCCCCCCTGGGGGCCCCCCCTGTTTGGCTGGGGGGGCCTCCCCGGGCTGCGGGGGAAGCTGTGAGCTGTTCTGCTACTGCGTGGACAAAAGAGTCCAGAGAGCGGCGCTTCTTATGGGGGCCCCCCTCCTGGGTACCCGGGGAAGGGGGCCCCCTATGTTCCCTAGGAGTGGCCAGCCTGGTTTCTCTGTAGGAGGACTGCTGCTGCGCTGCGCTGCTGCTGCTGCTGCGGGGGCGTCGGCGGCGCGTGGTTTCGCTGCTGCTGCTGCTGCCGCTGTCGCTCTCGGCGCTGCTGCTGCAGCTGCAGTTGCCCATGCGAGCAGCAACTTTGAAATAAATGCTAAGTCTTGTGTACTTCCCCATGTACTGGTCTCGACTAGCCAAATACTTCTCCAGGCGCGACTGCCTCCGCTTCGGCAGCGGCTCCCGCAGCGAGGGAATCCGCGGCAGACGCAGTGCAGCAGGCGCTGCTGCTTCCGACTCTGACTGGCTTCCTGCTGCTGCTGCTGCTGCTGCTGCAGCACCAGGGACGTCCTTGGGGTTCTCGCTTCCCAGCAAGCTGGGGCTTCTTCTGAAGCAAAAAGGCACGAAAGGCACTTCTTGCTGCTGCAGACTTGAAGCGCTCTGCAGCTAAACAAGAACTAAGGAGGGAAATAAAGAAAATAAAGCAGCAAAGAGTTTTTCACTTACGTTTCTTGGCTTTGGGGTGAGGCCTCAGCAGCAGGCGCTGAGGGCGCTGGCCGGGAGTGCACGAGCTTCGCGCCGCGGCCGCTGGAATGAGGGCCTGTTTGAATCATTTTGAGGGGAAAAGTGGGGATATTGGGCTCAAAAAAAGAGGCAACAGAATCCTGAAGTCTCTCTTAATCTGATGCTCTCTTTATTCGCCAAGACAGGGGTGGAAAAGCCGCGAAAACGGCGATTTTTAATACAGAGGGCGGGTAGAGCCTTGGGATGCTCAGTGGCGGCGATCGCAGAGTAACGGCAAAGATGACGCAAAGAAAGGCTTTAGTTGAATTTAAATCAAACTTAAATTCAATTCAAAATTGATTCGAAGTAAAAAGAACTTAAAATATAAAGTGAGACAGACTAGCCAAGGCGAGCCTCGCAGGTCAGCCTCGAGAGCCCACGCACGCGGCAGCTCGCCAGCTGTCGGTTGCTGCTCCTGCTGCTGCGGGGCTCCTTTTTACCGCCTATTATGATTTTTTCACCCTTTATCAATGAATTTTAAATTCCCATAAATAAAAACTTAAGTTTACAATCTAATTGGTTAGGGGGCCGCGATTTGAGCCTTCAGATTTGGCCTTCAACAGCAAAGGCC